GGATTAACAAGTGATCGCAATCGCCGTGCCGCTCGTGACACGTCGACCGCCCGTCTGGTGCGACGCGAGGCCTGCAGCGGCCATTTTGCTGAAATGCCGCGCGAGATTTCTGTAGCGCAGCGCAGGCCGGCCGGAGGTTGGTGCGCGGCCGGCCGGTGCCGGTTAACGCTTTGCCGAGCGCTCCCGTCGTGGGAGGAGAGGAGAGGAGGACGAGGAACCGACGAACGGAAGCGCGCGATGCGGGGCAGTTAATTGCGGGGCGCACGGTGGAGCCCCTGGGAGAAAAGATGCGTGCCCCCTGCCCCACCCGTCGGTGGCAGCGGCAGACTTCATGTTGGGAAGCGGATCTGAGGTGGCACGGAGGAGCGGCCGCGTGATCTGCCTGTCAGTCAGCCTGCCACGAGGAAACGGCCGGGGGCCGAGGTGGGGGTTGGTGGAGGCGTGCAGGGCTGTCAGACTGGCTACGAGCCTGATGCCTCTACGAACACATGCATGTTTAGATCACACTCAAAATCTAAATTTTTTTTAAGATTTTTTGTCACATCAAATCTTGCGGTACATGTATAAAGCATTAAATGTAGGTAAAAAGAATAACTAATTGTACAGTTTGGTCGTAATTGGCGAGACGAATCTTTTAAGTCTAAATAGTTTATAATTAGATAATTTTTATCAAATACAAACAAAAGTGCTACAGTAGCCAAAAGCTAAAAATTTCCGCATGGCTAAACCGTAGCATGGTCCGTACTCCAGCTTGCCGGCCGTCTTGACGCGCGCGGAGCATCTCCGGAGCCTGTACTGGCGCAAACTTTATCAGCAATTGAAGGAGGCGATGCCGGGCAGCCACTGTACAGGCCGTGGAGAGCGCACGAATTCGAGCGTCAGTTTCTAATGAATAATTATCCCGTCCAAAGTGTACTAATTCCCCCCGTCAGTACGCCTCATAAAGGCTGTCCTACACGCATTAACCAGTAGTATACACATCATGCAATGCAGTGGCACGAACCCGTCGCCGCGCAGTGATGTTTGCCGGCCGGGAGATGCGCGAGGATTCACAGCCCTGTTTGCTTGCTCGTAAATGATCGTAAATTTTCAGTCGAAAACAGTGTTTTTCTCTCATATCAAATCAGCCAGTAGTAAATAATCCAACGCACGTAGTGGTGGTACCTGCAGAGCAGCAGTACCATGGACGACGACCAACACGGCTTGCTTGTGAGTTGTGCAATGGCGCCGTGACCCAACTGTTGTCCTCAGTAATCGATCAGCTCATGCAAACCTGTCTCGTCGATCTCGCGCTTTACACGTCCCGAATCCCGATGTGGCTTCTCTCTATGCGTATGATAGCACGAGTTGTTGGAGAAAAATACTATTCGTTAGTCGAAAAAATACGGTTTATAAGCAATCGAACGTGACGCCGATCGCTTTGGCCGGGGAATCCGTCATATGGTTTCTCATGCTGCACCATGTATATTTGACGTGATGCTTCATTCACGGGGTTACGGGGAATCAGTCGCTGTTACGGCCAACGATCTGATCTCTGCTGCTTCACGGGATTACAGCCATCGAATCACATCGTAGTCGCGCCATATCTGATCCCCCTGCTGGGGATGCATGGTTTGATGCGTCGAATTCCATGCCGCAGCCGTGCACTACCGGCTGATTCGATCGGGAGAAGGAACGAGGAAAGGAACGCTTCCACAGAAAGGTTGTGGTCCTTGTGGGTGGATACGCGAATGGAGTGGAAATCCGTCCAAAATAAAGCTTACGCCTGACGGATAGACTCCCCGATAATGTTTACAGTCAGTTTAAATTCGGGTGTAAAGTTTTGGGTGTTATATTGGGTGTCGTATGAGATGTTCGGATACTAATAAAAAAACAAATTACACAATGCGTTAGTAATCCGCGAGACGAATTTATTAAGTCTAATTAATCCGTCATTAACACATGTGTTACTGTAGCACTACATTGTCAAATCATGAACTAATTAGACTTAAAAGATTCGTCTTACAAATTAGTCGTAAACTATATAATTAGTTATTTTTTAGTCTATATTTAATACTCTACTTACGTGTCAAACATTCTATGTAATATGAAATAAATTATTTAGGAGGACTAAACGAGGCCTCAATCACATGCGTTTGTCAGCCCTGCCCGTTGCGCGTCAGGCCAGCCGTGGTTGCAATTGCAGAAATATAGGTGCCTAGCTCGTTGACCGTGGAGATATGTGACGGTATGGCGGTATATATGATCAACAACTTGTAGCTAGAATATATACGTGCAACTTTGTGTCAATGTTTGCCTTTTCTCCGTAGATCAGCAAAACAAGACTAGTTCATTCTGGACCCTTGCGGTTTTTATCCTCCTGCTCCCTCCGTCCCATTAAAATTACCGTTTTTTACTTTTTAAACTTCTTATTTAACTGTTTGTCTTATTTAAATTTTTTATATAAATAATAAAATAAATAAATTATTATTAAAGTATCTCTAGGGGTAAAATAAGTCATAACAAAATAAATAATATTTATATAAAAATTGTGAATAAGACAAACGGTTAAACAAGAAGTAAGTAAAAAACGATACTTTTAATGGGGCAGAGGGAGTTCGCCAGATGACACAGGGGAAGTTCATTCTGCAATTTTAGGCCAGCGTTTAGTTCACCACCTCACCCATGGTGCTGCCACAACCATGCTCACCAAAAGTGTGGCGGATGATTTGTCCACGACACTTGCGACACAAAGTGTGGCGACATCATGGACACAATCACACAATCTTCCTTTTTTTCAAGTCGGAGTAGCCATTTCATTTTCACCTATGAAGATTTGAGTCGTTTCCCTAAAATACCCCTGTGCATGCCGTGGGTTTTTTTCTTTTCTTTTGAGAAGACCCTGTGCATGCAGTGGTGGGGTGGTACAATGCAACAATTCCTGCAACATGTGAGGGCCTCCAAAAGTATAAAAAAAATAGAGTGAAAGGGTAAGGTTAGAGGGTACGGAATATGCATTGGCCAAACCGCCAAACTATGGGCTGTAGCCTGCTTCATCTGTATCTGTTTCCATGCTTAATGGGCCTTGTATTTCTTTTTGGGTTCGGTTAACGGTGACTTTCGGAGCCTTTTCCATCATCTTATTTTGGGCGAGTTACGTGTCGGGCCTAACACACAAACTTTGCTATATATTACTATGGCCTAGGACCAGAGGAAGCCCCAAGTCCAGGGTCATGGGCTGCAAACTGGACCCATAGCGTCGTCGTCATCTTGTGCCACGGCCCGTGCGTCACGCAGAAATCTTCTCTCACAACATATCGTCACGCAGAAATTTTGTAATAATACCACCAGCGTCGGCGTGTAATTCAGGTCCGGCTCGGTCGCCACGGGGTCAAGCTCTCTCACCATGGAGTCAAGGACGGAGACTTCGTTCCAAGTCGGTCAACGCAACACCCAATCACACGGCAGGACGAGGACGACCTTGCCAGTTACGTTGCCTCGTTGGTCGTTGCCGTGCCAGCGTTCCAAGCTCCGTAAAGCCCGCGACGTCACGACAAGAGACACGGCGAGGCGAGCACACCGAGCAGAGCACAAAAGCATAAAGCAATGCGGCAGCAGTAGCCGGTAGCCGCGTGCCGGCGCGCGTCGCCCTCGCACGACGGCAGCCCACCGTCGTCCCGTCCGTCCGTCGTCCAGCACACGGCTTCCTTCCTCGCCCTTTCGCCCACTTTTTCCCCGCGGACTCCTCGGTCGGACTGCCTCAAAGCGCGAGGAAACGAAACATGCGTCCGCCCAGATCCCAACCCCTCTCCTTGTTCCGGCGTTCCCAATGGCCCGATCCTTGGGCCAACAACGCCCAACACCATGTGCATGTATTCTCAGTTTAGTTCGGCTGGTATTATTCAGCTGGCTGGTTGTTTTTTTTTTTTCTAGCCGGAACAGTATTTTTCTCTTATAAAATTTTAGCATAAACAGGATCCAATATAAACAGTGCCGGTTTTCATGTCAGCCGAACAGTCTGGGATCGGAGGAATCGGCAGTAGTAGTACAATTGTAAATTGTTGCGTTGCGTTGTACACAGATTACCAGGCTGTAAATAAAGCTGTCCCGATCTGGCCAATACAACACGTGGCGACACCGGCACATACTATCGAATATTTAGATACGTGTATGAAATATTAAATATGGACTAAAAAAATAATTAATTGTACAGTTTACGACTAATTTGCGAGACAAATCTTTTAAGCCTATTTAGTCTATGATTTGACAATGTGGTACTACAATAATATATGTGATAATGACGAATTAATTAGGCTTAATAAATTCGTCTCGTGAATTACTAACAAATTCTACAATTTATTTTTTATTAATATCCGAACACCTCATAAAACATCACTCGATGTGACACAAAAACTTTACGCACTTAATTTAAACTATGCCTAAACAACCAGCCAGCAGCGGCAGCAGGTGGGGCCCATAGAATCAAGCGTGGGCAATAAAGATTTGGACCGCCGTTGTTGCTACTGCAGATCTTCCGGTGGATTCTGCCTGCGGCATCGCAGTTAACAACGCCGGCGCCACCAAGGCGAGCAAAAACGGCCAGGGGGCCTGGCACGCGGGTAAGCCGTAAGCCAGCAAACAAAAACCTGTACGGCAAGGCTTTCTTATTGCCCTGCCCCTAGCGCTGCTCGTACGGCCAAACTTGCGCTGGCCGGTTGCGATGCAGTACAAGGGAAGCAAGGAAAGGAACAAGGGACTGAAGGGAGCAACGAGAAGAGGTTCCTGGAAACATAGCCGCGGTTTCTCGCTCGTCCACACCTAACTCGACAGCCACTTTGCCGTATTTCCCCCGTCCTCTGTCTGCCCCTGCCCCTTTATAAGAGGAAGAAAGACTTGCTCCTCTGCTCGTCGTTGGCAGCAAAGCTTCAGACTTGTTCAGTTCAGTGCTTCAGTGTGGTAGCATAGCATAGCAGTGTGATAGTGGTACCCCAGTCCCCAAGGCTCAGCTCCAACGCTGAAAAATGATGGCGTCTTCCTCCTCTTCCTTCTTTGGCATCGAGCCACTCGACGGCGGCGAGAGCGAGACCTGCCGCCATGCCATGGACGCCTGCTCCCTCTGCGGGAAGCGCCTCGCTGGGGACTGCGACATCTTCATGTACAGGTTCGTGCTTGTGCCGGCGGTGGGCCTGTATGCTTCATTCCTCCAGCTTTTCCGATGCATGCAATGCAGAGTAGTGGTGTTCTGATCGTCCCCGTTGTTGCGAACAACAGAGGGGACACGCCGTTCTGTAGCGAGGAGTGCAGGTACCACCAGATGGTCAGGGACGATCACGGTGCGGGAGAGAGCATGCGCTCGAAGACGAAGCGTCCGACGATGACAGAGGAGCGACGCCGCAGGCACGAGGCTCCTGCCGCCGCCGAGCCGGCCCGTGTCCCACTCGCGGCAAACGTGCCCGTTGCGATCTGAAGGAGGCACAGAGCGGCATCCGATCGGCTTCTCTGAAGGAGGCAACGAACAGTCCGATCGAGATGAGTAGCGCGGCAGAATATATGTGCAAGCAAAGGAAGCAACCACGCCCTCGAGTATCTTTGTGTTCTTTCGGTTTCTTTTGTTGTTGGCCACTTTCTGCACGTCGTGAGCAACAGTGTAAGAGAAATGGATGTACATAACGGCATTTTCATGCAAGTTTATGCATTTTGGTGTTGCCCCTTTGCTCTTTGCAATAAGTACGTTTCTCTCTCGCCCTTGGAGCACCTGGCTTGAATCCGAGGGAAAAATCTGGGGTATAATAATGATCTCAGTTAAAAGTGTGCCTAGAACCATATTATTTTTAAAGCTTGATTGGAACCATATTATTTATCCCTCCGTTGTAAATTGTAAGTTGTTTAGCAAAAGTTTTGTACTAAAAAAATATAGAACTAGCTACAGTTGAAATAAAAGAGAGTACTACTTTAGTTACAGACAAGAACGAATATGAGAAGCGCCGGATGCCGATGCTTTTTTGGAAAAGAAAGAGGTGAAGGCTAATAGCAGGGCTAACAAAACTAATTTGAGCTAACTTTAGCCACCGTTATCAGCCTATCAAACACCTGTCCTAGGGAGTAGATATTTTCATTAAAAAAAATACTCCAACAGTTTCTTCAATGAGATCTCTAAACATCGTCATCTTCTATCCCTAGTTTCTTGCAAGCTAAAGACGGTGATCCTCTATCCCTAGTAAGGATGAAAACGGAAAGGAAATATCCCGAACCGAACCGCATCGTTTTCTACATTTGACCCGAGCGAATTCGTATTTTCGGACAAAATACGGAATATTAAATTCGAATTCGAAATTCGGAACACCAAATTCGAAATCGGATCGAATTCGGTTTAGGCTTTGTTCGACCGATTTCTACTTTTCTACTTTTAATTGAATATCCGAATTCAAAATTGATTCGAACCGAATTTGGTCCAAAGACTCGATTGCATAGCAAGATACCCACCACGGCCCGGCCCAAGTTAGACAACCCTAATCCAGTAATCCCATTCGCTCCCCATCTCCTCCCCTCCCTATTCTCTGGCGCTGGCGGCGCCCTGAGTCCCCGACTCGCCCCACCGCCGGACCGCCGCTCCCCTGCCTCTCCTCCACGGCTCCACCACCCCGCGGTGCTCTGCTTCCCTCACACCGAAAGCACCACTACCCTGCCGGTGCCGGCTCTCTCTTCACTCGCTTCCTCTCTCTCTCCGCCTCGCTAAACTGGGAGCTCGGCGCCTCGCCGATCCGGGACCACCACCGCTAACCGAGCTCCCTCCTCACCTCTGCTTCTCTCCCTCTTCTCTCTCTCTCTCTCTCTCTCTCGATTCGTGCGGCGCCAAGACGGCCGGGGGCGGCGCCGGCACCAAGGCCGACGACCAGAGCGCCGCCACTCCGCCCATCGATGGCGCCCCATTGGAGGAGGTGTTTCGCGCTCTGGAACGAAGAGCAAGGGCAAGAATAAGACCAAGAGCGGGGCAGCTTTGGCAAACAATGACTTCTCCTCTCCGGTATGTATCTTGATTCATCTCCTTCGTACTAAGGATTGCTTGCTTTGCTCTTTGATTTTTCTTGATTCTTTTGAGAGGATGTGGCCGTGCGATTTGGGAGAGCTGCTGCAGCAAAGGTTCAATTTTTCAGAGGCTTAAGACCCTTAGGACCCCGACCTTTGATTTTAACCGTTTCTTGAATGCGGTGCTTGACCGCTTGTTGCGCTGGGTTTGTAGTTAGCTTGATACATGGTGAACGTAAGTCGTGTCGCATCCTATGAGGTGAAATTTGTGAATGTTTTGCAGATTGATGTGTGCTTTTGATAAGATTTAACGTATTTCAAGGTTTGGACCAGTTCATTTTGAGAATGTATTGTACTCGGTTTTAGGTTTCGTGAATCGAGATTGTGTGAACGAAATTTCGAGTTTACGAGTTTGTGTGGTGTTCAAGCATAAGATCCCATGTATATTTTGGTCAAAGACAATGCTATGTTCTGTGCCCCCTTGTGACACAATATTAGATTGTTGATACTTTTCGATGTAAAGGTGCTTGCGATACTTTTACGATGTAAAATGACACGATATTAGATTAAAATATTTTCATATTCATAAGTATATTATTTCTCACTTGATCAATAAACTCATCTCAAGGCATGTATAGACATTTGGAGTAGCTCTCGTGTCCCGACACTATCTTTATTATTACGACACCCAAGTGAATATGTCAAATTTTTCCGAGATTTCACCTCTATCAATGTATTCGGTGGTTGATACCCTTTGCATTTCCTAAAACAATCAAATTTTCCGACATTTTGCTTGATTATTTGGGATCGGCATGCACCGTTTAGCAATGTTTCAATTGGCTCTTGGCAGGATCAAGGGGCAAAAGGTCTCGCATCTCGAGTATTAGCCCTAGTGGAACTTGTGAAAGTCCAACTACTGAAGCATCGATGAGCAAAGATCCGTGTCGTTGATGGGTTCTTGTGCTCCAAATTTTGACACTAGTTGCACTTTGGCAAGTGGCGCTGGGACCGCTTGTGCACCAAAGAACAACCACAACTCCAAATGTTGACAATGATGACCCAGAGGAAGGTGAGGATGAAGAGGAGGCTCACCTTTCTGGCAAGAGGTACAAGAAATGCACATCGTGGGTCTGGAATTATTTCACCAAGAAAAAGGAGTATGTAGAGGTGGAAGGAAAGCAGATTGAGGAGATTTGGGGATACTGCAATTTCGCTAGGTGTGATCAGAGGTACAGAGCTGAGGGCGTCCATGGGACGACTGCATTCAAGAACCATTTGAAGTCAAAACACAGTACTGTGAAGGGACAACAACAGCTTAAAGTTGGTAAGAACCCTGGTTCTGTAGCAGCTCATGTTCAGCCTTTCAAATATGACCAAGAAGCTAGCTTGAAGAAATTGAATTTGGCAATAACCATGCATGAATATCCTTTCAATATAGTTGAGCATGAGTATCTTATTGATTTCATAAAATCTCTCCGTCCTAGCTTTCCGATAAAATCTCGTGTCACTGTTAGGAAAGGAATAATGGACAATTATTTCCAAGAAAAAGAAACTCTGTATGCACTCTTGAAAACTATGAATTGCCGCTTTAGTGCAACAATGGATATGTGGACCTCGTGCCAAAACAAAGGATACATGTGTGTTACAATTCATTGGATAGATGATAGTTGGCGTATGCAAAAGAGAATTATTGGTTTCTTCAATGTAAAAGGTAGGCATACTGGTGCAAAGTTGTCTGAGACATTCACTGAAGTTATGGTTAAATGGTACATTGAAAATAGACTATTTGCTTTGACTTTGGATAATGCTAGTTCAAATGAAGTGGCTGTCAATGATATTATTTCAGATCTGAAAGAGAATGCTAATGGTTCCCTAGTGTGTGATGGGATGTTTTTTCATGTTAGATGTGCCTGCCATATTCTCAATTTGGTTGCTAGAGATGGGTTGAAAGTCATTTCAGGAACACTCAGCCAAGGTCAAATCACTTGTACTAGCTGTGAAAGGGTCTCCATTGCAGTGGGAAGAGCTTATGAAGCGTGCCACCGAAGCTGGGTTGGATACAAAGAGGGGTATTCAAATGGATGTTTCAACAAGGTGGAACTCTACCTATCTAATGTTGAGAGATGCCTTGTACTACAAGGATGCATTTATTAGGCTGAAGTCTTCAAATCGACGTAGGTATGCCACAATTTCTCCATCTTCTGATGAATGGGACAATGCATTGACAATTTATGGTTGCTTGAAGAAATTTTATGATCTCACTGAAATTCTCTCCGGCACTTCATATCCCTAACGCAAACTTATTCTATAGAGGTTTCGTGATATAAAAGTCTTGCTTGATGACTGGTGCTTTAGTGAAGATGCTACAATTAGAGAAATGGTTGTTATGAGTGCAAAATTTGAGAAATATTGGGAGCAATCCAACATTGCTCTAGTCAGTAGCCTGCTTTTCTTGATCCTAGGTATAAGAAAAGGCTCATAGAGTACTACATGAAGAAGTTCCATGGGGTTCATTATCAAGCTGAACTTGATGAGTTTATTAGTGTGGTAAAAAACTGTACAACTTTTATAATATTAGTTCTGCTCATGCATCATCAAAGACAACTAGTGAAGTGGCTGCACCCCCTGCACTGCACCTAGTAACACATCGATGTATTAATGGGAAATATGAGACCATGACCTAGAAGAATTCTTATATGATGCAAGTGAACTCTTGTGGTTGAGTCAAATGATTTGGAGAGGTATATGTTGGAACCACTACTGAAAATTGTTGGTGAGTTTGACATCTTAGCGTGGTGGAAAAACAAGAGAGAAGAGTATCCTATCCTTTCACAAATTGTTAGGGATGTAATGGTCAGCATACAAGTATCAACAGAGCATCCGAGTCCGCCTTTAGTCTTTGTTGGTCGTGTTGTTGATCCCTATCGTAGTCGTCTTGATCCCGAGATGGTATACAGGCATTAATTTGCACAAAGGATTGGGTTGTCTATGACAAATAAAGGTGCTCATTCTTAGCTTTTTTTTTTCAGATTTACACACTTGTAATTGAAGGAAAATAATGCTTTGATTTTTTTCCTTTCTATTTTTTTGTTCAGATTCTAAAATGGTTGGATCAATTGTGAGTGATCTTGAGGTTGATGCTTTGACTAATGTTGTGGCTAAGCTGAAAATTGAGGTACGTTTATTGACTACTTGCTATGAAATATGCTAATTGTTGCTGCTGCCCCTGCTTGCTGAATTGCTGCTTCTCTGAGATATGAAAATGAAGATTATAACTCAATAATGAGAGAATAGGTAGCCAACCATTTAAAATCTTTGGGCCATATGGAGAATTTAACTCAATTTCAACTTTGAGAGATGCATTTATTTCAATCTTTGTGGATACCAATGACATACTTCTTACTGAGACTTGAATCACATATCGAAGATGAAATCTTAAGTGTATTACAAAACATAAAAAAAGACTAATCAATGAGGACCACGTATTTTGCTTTCGAGAGAAAGTAGTATGAGCATCTTAGTGACAAAGAAGCGATAAATGATAAGTAACCCACTTAAAGATATTCCATGTTGATAGCAAGAAAAAGTGAAAAACATAAGACATGCTTACCCTCAAATTGCACAGGATTGATTGATACTAGTTTCCCATGGTCAAGAAGTAGTGCTTTGTAATGTCTTCGAGTGGCCTTTGTGGTAGTTCTCAATGCATCTTATCCAAACTGGGCAAGGCTATCGAGATTCCATTTACTAGGGCCCTTTGCTGGGAACAGTTGTCATTCAGTTGATTAGAATTGAGTGGAACTCTATCAGCAGACCAACACTCTCCATAAACCAAGTTGTCATTCAGTCTCAACCGAGATGAATGTTTGGGAGCGACACAGAACACAGATGGAGACCAAAGTGATTAGTGCCATGCTAGTGGCTAGTTGCTACATCTAATTTTAATTCACTTTGTAAACTTGTAGGACAATAACAAGGAGGGGGAAGAGGACGCTGAGGAGGACAATGAGGAAGAAAAAGACATGGAAAGTGATCCTATTCCTGACATCATGGATGATGCTGATGAACTGTAGACGTTCATGTTCTGTTAATTGCTTGTTCTAGACTTGTTATGTATTTGGTCGTGCACTTGTTTAATGCTATGCACTTGAACTAGATCATGCACTTGTTAGTTGTGAACTTGTTATGTATTTGGTTGTGCACTTGTTTAATGCTATGCACTATGGGTCGGTATTTCGTATTGAATTTTCGCATACCGACCGTGTTCGACATAATTCCGCTCGAATTGGTTCGTTTCTGAAATTCTAGATATTCCGTAAGTTCGTGTTCGTTTTCGTGTCCGGCTTGTCCGCTTTCGTTTTCGCTTTCGTATTTCAAATGTAAAAGTAGAAAACGGTTGAGGAGTTTTTCGACCGAGTTCGACCGTTTTCATCCTTAATCCCTAGTTTATTGCAAGCTAAAGACGACGAGTAGCGATGGCCCTATAAAATATGTACAAAATATAGATATAGAGAATTCATGACCCTAACTTACCACACAACAGGTTATGTCATAATTTCTTTGGCGCATCACACTTCTTGTCCCACACGTCATAGACTTATTTTCTTGCAAACTTTACCGCAACTATGACTTTCATTTTGCTCGACATATTTTATGGCAGCCATAATTTGAAACCATTTTTTTCGGAGCCTTCAACAATCGGTTTTTGCTCTGTTGTCCGCTCCCACTACCGTCGCCTTGGCGAGGATGCGGGCGTCCTCGGCGGGCACGGGCGGGCGGCGTCTCCATTGGGCCTGTCCGGGAAGGGAAGGGAAGGCGCGGGCGTCGTCGGAAGGGAAGGTGCAGGTGGCATCAGAAGGGAAGGCACGGGCAGCGTCGGAGTCAGGCCTGTCCGAGAAGGGTATGGAAGAGGGAAGGGATAAGGTTGGGAGAGTGGGTCCCACCATAATTTGGAAGAATTTGTATTTTTTCTGAAATTCGTGAATAATTTATGAACAATTTGACATATATTTCTCTAATATCTGCAGTTTATAGAAATAATTTATAAAATTTTCTGAAAATTTTGGCATATATTGTGTTATCCCTAGATTACATTATTCTGTCCGATAAATTACACTAAAGAGATCATTGTAAATATAGTAATATGACGGTGTAAATATAGCTACAAGACAGTGTAAGTGCATGGAAAAAATCTGGTTGTTAGGAGGGACTAAAACAACTAGTTGTTGGCTAGACAGATTCTTTGTTTAAGGTTAGACGTGGCAAAATAGAGCACTAATTAAATAGACTTGATAAAAAATATTTTTTATTAAATAATTCTCAGACTCTTGGGGAAACTCGGGAAGAATGTACGAGGCCCACCGAACCGGTAAAATTACTACACGTCGGCCCGTGGGCCCTGGACCTGTCGATTCATAGGTGAGCCACACTTCACGACATGGACAGAGAGACAAATTGCTACGAGAACCAGTACCAAGCGGCCAATCCCACTGCTCCACTAGGCCTATACACATTCGTCAGGCGGCGCATGTTTCTTCCCTGCCAAGTGCCAGAGCATCGACCGAATCACAAGCCGAAACCTTTTTCTTTTCTTTTTTGCGACAATCGCATGCTGAAACTTGTGACGCTCTGATCAGTCCCAAAAGGCCAAAAGCTCATAAACGGTGTGTGTGGAGATCTACAAAATTAAGGCTCTTGGTACACAGTACGCGGAACTGCGACCGATCGTTCGGCGTTCACCTTTCGTGTAATTAAGTGTGTGGTGCATTGTTCACAGTCCCGGCCGGTGCAACTTCTCCATCGTCACAACGTACGACGGTCACCTCCTGACCAGATTCTACTGTCAAGATGCGATCGAGTGCAATCGGGAGGTCTCTCTTCACTCAGGTCTCAGCTCTCAGGTACGTGGGCGGAGGCAATTCTCCGACATTTCTAAGCGAACGTACCCTATATTAGCATACTGCTTAGCTAAATGGATTGGGTTCATTATGATAAACCCTGTCCAGCCAAGATTAAGTTCAAGACTTGAGACAGATGCTCAATTTTTTTTACATTGATTCTAAGTAAAAATAACATTTCTTCCTTGCCGAAAGTTTTTTATGACTTAAACATGAAGTATGATTTTTCTAAAGTTTTAGGATCTAAATAAAATATAAGCATGACTTGTGACTACACATATATTGAGTAGAAAAATATACAATATAAACAATAGGAAATATGAGTCTAGAGTTATATAGCACATGTATTAGTGTAGTACGAAATTTTGGATTTTTCTTCCGGCCACCCCTCGAAATTCATGAAATTTCGGCGAAATTTCGAACCCTGGTCAGTGTTACTTATGGAAGACTGGTGTCATGGAGGTGCAAGAGAAATTTGAAATTTTTCTATTATGAAAAGTGGACTTTGTCCAAATGCTATCCCGCATAATAAGGGTGAAAAAAGAGACAGATATTTGATTCAAATACTAAATGGATAATCTATATTTGAATCCCGACATTCAATCCATATTGCATTGAATTCAAATACTCAAAGCATCCTGGTATGGCTGGCATGAATACTCTCCAACAAGATATAGAAAACAGTTTTCTAGAAAGATTCTCGGAGATGCTCTTACAATATGTATAATTGCAAAACAAGTGCGCTAATCAATACTCAATAGTATGAGGCATGAATAATGGATTCTTACCTCATGCTCTCCTTATAAGCATTTTAATTTCTAGTGAGAGAGAGAGAGAGCTATTGTTGTTTTTCTGAACAAAAATATATAAGGAAAGGATGCACCCCGTCCCCGTGTATTGGGGGTTGTCATGAAAGTGACAGTTGGCAAAGACGTATCACAAGCATGGTGCATAAGTACCGTGTATTTTGTATTTTAGGTGTGCTTGGTATGTATCTAGATTTTTTCTACAATTGTTTTAGAATCGGATTCTCACTGTAAACACCATCTTTCACGAGAAACAAAATCCACCTATGGAAACTGCTTGGCTAGCCCTTTTCCTGTAAGTTCGGCTAGCCAATTTCCTAATGGCCCGTTGTTTCTCTCGGAATTGTGCCATAGAAGATTTCCACCTGGAACCACAGGCTAATTTATATAGCAATTGAATAGCCGGAACGAATCCTGGCCTCATTCTGGAACAACCGAATGAGCCCTAAAAGTAGAAGTAGCTAGGAAATAGTGAGAGGAGAATAGGTGTGAGATCATGACTAGAGCGATTCCATGGTCCAGATCAAAATAATTCTCCGCGAAATGTTTCCATGCCTTTGCCAAAAAAAATAAAGAAGAAAAGCTTTCTCTGAGGACTGGAAGAAAAGTTTTGCAATTTCTCATATCTTGTGACAAATTTCATTCATCCAAAACAAATTCAAAAGGGCAGTCTATACTTTACTCACGTCTCATGCCCTCATTTAAAAAGTTATTAGAAATACCACTTATTTTGGACCTGAAATTCATCATAACAAAGTTGACCCTATCATATTTTTTGACCCTATCATTTGTTTTCTGAGTAGTTGACCCTATCCTTGTGATTAAACCCCATCTTACAATACTTGAACCCTAAGTTCAACTCGCAATTTGCGCACAACTCAAAAAAGCATTGGTGTGAGACCAAGCAAAGCATGCCTTGCTTAGTTATGGCGGTTCTTACTGACAAAATCTAACTGCAAACTATGATCCAAAAAGGAGGAAACTATATGTTTCTACACACATATACCTTTACTATTGACATAGTTCCACTTGTATTCCGGGATTACTATTTTGCAAGTCACATACATGAACACAAGCGAATTATAATCAAAATACGCCATCAGACAAAGCGTAATGTAGATCATACACCAAAGAACGAGAAGACGACCCATCCAACGTGCAAATCCAGGGCAAGCACCGACGTAGCAAGGACCCGGGCCCATCTAGGAGCCCACCTGGCAAGGCGGTGGCGAGGCAGGTCAGCAAGTGCGGCCGCACCAACACCGCCCCCAGCTCCTCTCAGGCCTACCTTGCATAGGCGATGCATTTATGACACCTAGGGTCGGTTTTGAGTGGTTTCCTATTTTATCTCCCGCCAAACCAACCTCTAGCTATTATAAAGAGAGGGGGAGAGCTCCCTCTAAACACACACCACAACTCAAGAGCCTCTCTCCCTCCACTTGTATCTATTCACAAGAGTTTTGCAGGCAAGACTCTTGTGAAGAGCTTGGACATCTAGAAGGAATCTTGATTTGATCAATACGAAGAGTTCTTCTATGTTCTTGTTCTTATCTTATCAATATAGTCATGTTATAGAATTAGAGCAAAGTTCTTATGTTATTCATTCAGCATACGAAACTTTATGCTTAATCTTTCATACAACATACATGTTTAAACCAAGACCTAAATTTAGGTGATGAGTTCTACTTTAAGTTAGTCTTGGTCATTGTTTACTTGTGGGTTCGTCGTCCGTCCCCGTGATGGATGCTCTAGTAGAGGACTCCTGATAAAGACGGATGTTCCTGGCCGACGCTAGAGTAGTAACCAATAGAGTAGACATGGTGTCTAAGCTAGAAGTTACCTTCGTTTGCCTCGTTCCCCACGGTTGAGGGGTAGACAACAGGTGGTGATAGTCCTGTCCGTCTCTTGTAATGCCCCACGTTCGGGTTCGACGTATAGCTGGAAGCCGGAGGTACTTGATAGACCAAGTATAAATCGGTGCCCGAAGTAAGTTTATAATGACCAGACCTATCATAACTTAGAATCTCTAACCTTAGAAACTCATGTATTGTGACGACCCGGGTCATTACCACTATAAATAATAACCCTGGCCTATGATTTATCACCCAACAGATACAAGATTTGTCGACTAATAAACCATAACAAAGTTGGCAACGGAGAATAGCTAGAGGGTACTAATAATTATTACAATACCATTCTACGCACTTAAGTCTTTAAAGAAACGCCATAAGTTTGCGCATTATTACAAGCTCGACATATAGAGGTCCAAACTAGATTACTAAGTCAGCGACAAAGACATATCACCACTGACATACATAACTGAACTAAGAGGATCATTTATTCATCCCATCCACCATAGGAGGTGGCAGC